GATATTACAGATGTGCACCACTGAGCCTGGATTTTGGTTTTATTTTTCATGAACACTTGTTAATTGCTTACTAGACTTCCTAGATTATTCCTCAAACTATATTTTCTCTCAGATTTTTTTGTTTTTGCTGTTTTTCTCTACTTTTCTGGAAGACTTCTTCGGTTTTGTTTTTCAAAATTCCTATTGAAATCTGAACTTCAGTAATCAATTTTTTTCCAATATTGGAGGATCCAACCTGGGGTTTTGCACATGTTAGGCAAGCAATATACCACTGAACCCCAGACAGTAATCATATTTTAATTTCCAAGAATTCTTCTTGTTCTCCAGTTGCTAATTTTATATAGTAGTGGTTTTGTTTTATGGATACAACTTGTTATCCACCCACTGGCAACTTGCCCAACGCCATGTTACATTAGGGGCTCCTTATCTGAAAGGCCCAGGGAGTTCTAGCCGCCCACTGGCAATTTGCCCACCACCATGTTTGAAAGGCCTGGGGAGTTCTCAAGGAAACTCCCAACACCTTCTAATTCTGACTTTCTGGTGTTACATCTGGCAAAACGGCCTGTACCTCCTTTGTAGTTCCTTTGTCAAATATTTTTAGGTGGATTTTTCAAGCCTACTTTATTCATTGACTAATTTCCATTTGCATTCTAAAAATCTGTTGAAATCTGCCCATGGATGACAACCTCACATCCTCATCAAATTCTGTTCACTCTAATGGGTTTACTCCTTTCTGTTCCTTGATACTTTTCTTTTAGTGAGCTTCTAAGCGTAAAGAAATAAAACTCTGTATGTGTGCTTGCACTCATGAGTGTAAGTGTGATATATCAGAATCAATCCATGGTTTATCTTTTTTCCATTGTAAATGTACTTAAACTTTTAATTGTCTAGAAGACCACTTTGGCCACATTTCCTAGGTTTTGATCTGTAGGACTCTTATTGTTGGTTATTTCTGAAGAAAATCATTTTAGTTTTTGTTTCCTCTTTAACCAGAGTTATTTTGAAACCTGTTTTAAAATTTACAAGTGGAAATTGGGTTTATTTTGTTTTACTTTTGCCCATCCTTTCGTTTCTAATTTTTAATTTTATTCCATTTTTACAGAGACTGTGATCTACATGATTTCTATATTTTGGAAATCACTGAGATTGGTTTTTGTTGAGACTAATGCACACACAACTTTAGAGATGTTCCAGAGTGTTTGATTTTTTTTTTTTAAGATGGGGTCCTGCTATGTTGACCAGGCTGACCTTGAACTGTAATCTTCCTGCCACAGCCTTCTAAGAAGCTGGGATTACATTCATGCAACACCACACTTGAGTCCATAAGTGGTCGAAGCAAATTTTCATTTCTATTTTTTGTGGCATCATCTGGGATGTTAGTTCCAAAATGTTGGGTTGTCTTACCCTTTTCATTTTCCTTTATCATTTTAGGTTTGTTTTAAAATATTTGTTCCAACAGTTTAAGGGATCTTTAGATAAATGGAGTAGATGTTTGTGCTCTATCTGCCATATTGATAAAATTCTTTTTTTGTTGTTGTTGTTTTGTTGTCATCTACACTATATTACTCTCAGTTTTTACCTCCAATAGAATTATTTTAAGTATATCAATTTTAAAATGGAATAATCCCATGTTTAAAATGGCCTATTTTTTAATTCTACAAGTAAATAATTTGGATAATTGTGTATTTTCTAATTTTCAATGTTAAGCATGAAACTGCATTAAGTCCCTTTTATTCAATCTAAGGAATTGAATACTTCCTTCATTGCTTTTCAAAAATTTCTTGGCTTTTAGGGATTGGGTTGAAGCTCAATGGCAGAGTGCTTGCCAAGCATGTGCAGGACACTGGGTTTGATCCTCAACACCACATAAAAATAAATAAATAAAATAAAGGTATTGTGTCCAACTACAACTAAAAAATAAATATAAAAATAAATAAGTAAAGGTAACATGTCCATCTAAAAATAATTTTTTTTTAAATTTCTTGGCTTCTAGTTTGGTATATAACTCTTTCCAAACTAGAATTAACTTATTATAATCCACAAAACTCTTGTATTTTAATCAGGAAAAATAACTTCCAGATTAATTTATGAATGACATTTTAATTTTTTTAATTTAAAAAAGTTTTGTTTTTCTTGTCTTTCTAGAATTGACATGTTTATTATGTTGACTCTTCCCTTCTAGGAATGAGATAGTTTGTATTTTTTTCAGGTCTTCTATGTATTTCAGTAAAGTCTAATATTTAGATAGGTTTTGGCATTTGGCATGTGTGTGTGTGTGTGTGTGTGTGTGTGTGTGTGTGTTACTGGGGATTGAACCCAGGGGCAGTATGCCACTGAGTTCCATCCCCAGCCCTTTTTTATTTTAGAGACAGGGTCACACTAAGTTGATTAGGGTTTTGCTAAGTTGCTGAGGCTAGTCTCAAGCTTGCAATCTCCTGCCTCAGCCTCCTGAGTCACTGGGATTTCAGGCATACACCACCATGTCCAGCTTGATTTTCCAATCTTTGCATTCTTAGAATAAAACCTGCTTTCATTATGATATATTATCATATCCTGCTGGATTCAATTTATTTATCTAGAATTTTCACATTTATTTCCATTTCTTGTGTCATACTTTCCTTGGTTCTTTTATAGTAGTTACATTATTTTAAAAACTAAATGTGGAAAAAATTTTCTTTTCCAAGATTGGAATTGCCTACTCATTAAGGATTTGATAGAACTCATCTGTATAGCTCTCTGGGCCTGTATTTGTGAATGAGGTGGTAAGTTTTTTTCAATATATGGTCAATTTATTTGAGGTCATTGGAGTCCATTTGGGTATTCTGTTTTTAGAGTCAGTCTTGGTAAGTTGTACTTTTGTGGAGTTTACTCATTTTGCTTGTTTTCAAATTTACTGATATACAATTATTCAGAATAACTGTCATAACTTTAAGAAAACCTCTGTCATTCTATGGTTATATATGGTTTCATTTCCAATATGACATACTTGCTTCTTTTCATCCAGTTTGTTAGAGGGTTGGCTTTTGTTCAACTTTTCAACGAACCAGCTTTTGATTTCCTCAATCTTCTCTCTTGTTTGTTTCTGTTTCATTAATTTCTGTTTGTCTTTATTTTTCTTTCATCAACTTTCTCCAGGTTTGATCTGCTGATGTTTTAAAGCTTGTTGACATGTTGGCCACTTCAGCTATAGCTTGAGACTCCAGGCTCACACACTCAACCACCTACTCCAACACCTCTACTTTCACATTGTTAGAGTTGGGGCGCCTTAAGCCTAATATGACCCAAAGAGACTTCTGAACATGTGCTTTTCCTGTATTTTCTCCCATCTTGATGAAAGCTATTCACTCAGGTGCTCCAGACCAAAACTCAAGCATCATCCTTGTTTCTTCTCTTTCTCTATACTCTACATCCAGTCCTTTCTGCTCAATCTCAAAATATATCTTGAATCTCAAATCATTACTGCTACCTTTCTAGTTAAAGCCACCATCCTTTCTCTCTCCTAAACTGTTCCCAGGGTCTCCTGATGGGCATCTTGTATCTAGTTTTGTCCGGCCATGGCCAGTTCTCCACTCTCCAACTAAAACACAGATCTGATGATGTCAGCTTCTGACGCAATCAAATCAAGGGCTTCTCATCTCAGAATAAACTCCCAGTTCTCATGGCACTCTCCAACCAAATCAGTCCCCATATTCCCAATATGCCAGGTTAGGCCTTTGAACTTGACTGAAATGTTCTTTCCCCAATATCCATTTGGGGTAAGAAAATGAAGGCAAAAGCTAGTGGATATCCAAAAAGCACTCCTTTCACCCTGTATCTATCTCAAAGCCCTTATGTCTATGTAGAGTTATGCCTTATTTTAATGCTTAGTATGAATTTTTCCCCCACAAAAATGTGTGACTTCACTGTCTTGTTCAGTATCGTGCATCCAGAGTAGGGAACAGTGCCTGGCATAAAGAAGATATTAAATAGATAAAGGGGGGGAGGGGGGCAAATCAGAATCCAAAGGTTCCTTGTTAAGAATAAAACTAGCACAAACATTGGATGGATTGGTTGATGATTGGTATCAGGGTAAGGTCGCCTTAACAAACACTCCTGCTCTAAATATCCCATTGGCTACAACTTTCCTCATACTTTAAAATATTTTTCTGAAATAGTTGCTGGATGTCAGCTCCAAGTCATTTCTTCGAAGAAGATGAACAGCTGGATCTCGCTCCCAAATTACGTTTTCCAGGCAGAGCTAAGCGCTGTTTCCACTGCCCCTTCTACACACCTCCACCAAAACATCTGATCCAACAATGACAGGTCTCACGCGGGCTTGGAATGGCACCCTCTTCCCACGCCAGAGTTCCGCGAAGGCTAGGACCGTGATTTGTTGTCAGTTTATTCCCGGCCCCTAAGAGAGTGTGGCACCTGGCAGGCTAAAGTGAAATAATGCAATGGTTAGGCCTCTTAAACCGTGTCCCTAGGCTTGGAACAACGCCGGGCTGTAGGGCAGGCAACTTTGCTGATTTACTGAAGATCATTTTAAGAAAATGTCAGCGCACTAAAATGCTTATTGCAACATACTCAGTGCGTTTTGTGGACAGAGTCAACCGCTCTGTAGGGAAACGCAAACAGGCGTCCCGAGCCTAGGCCCTCCTTTGCCCCAGCATCCGCAAGGGCCCATTAATCCATAACATTTAAATTCCGCCCACTAAACCAGCCCCTCCGCGCCCAAGCCGCCACTTTTCCCCAAATGACGGCTGAAGGCAACCAATCAGCATTTGGGCAGGGGTCCGCCCACTTTTCCCTTGCCGAAACGGACAAGAATTCCCGCCAATTGAGGGTGTCGCCGCCGAGGCCCCGCCCCAGACTGGCCACCCCAACCAATACTGGGCAGGCTTGCGGCGGTGCCGGAGGCGGGGCGTGAGCACGCAGGTGCAGCAGCGCGCAGGCCGGCCGGGAGGGCGGGGCGCGACGTCGTCCGTGCGGGGTCCCGGCGTCGGCGGCGCGCGCGCTCCCTCCTCTCGGAGAGAGGGCTGTGGTAAAAGCCGTCCGGAAAATGGCCGCCGCCGCTGCCGCCGCGCCGAGCGGAGGAGGAGGAGGAGGCGAGGAGGAGAGACTGTGAGTGGGACCGCCGCGGCCGCGGGCGGGGACCCTTGCCGGGGGGCGGGGGGTAGGGGCGGGACGTGGCGCGGGAGGGGCCCGAGGGGTCGGGCGACACGGCTGGCGGATGGCGTCCCTCCTCTCTACCCTCCCCCTCCCGCTGCCGCCGGTGGCGGCTCTCTTCTTGGCCCATCACCCGTGCTCGCGGGTGACCGTCCTCGTCGCGGTCTCCCCGGAGCCACCTTCGCCTGGCGCCCCCCTTTCTCCGCCCTCTGCGTGCATCCCGGTCCCCGGCGCCGCGGGCGCCCCTGTCGCCCGGGCTTTGCCTGTCGGGGCTACGCGCGCTCTTGCCCTTCTTGGGGCTTCGGGCCGCGGCGCCGTCGCGTGCCCGCGGCCCCGGCCTCTCCCTGGATCGCGCTCTCCCCTCTCCCTCCCTCGCGCGCCCCCTCTCCCGTTACTCGTCCCCCCCACCGGCGCGCGTGCGCAGTCCACCTCCCGTCGGGAGAGTGCGCCACAAGGGCTCCTGAGCTCTCACCCCCATCTCCAAGCTTTGCCTCCCCCTCCTTCTCGCCCATTCTATGACTTTCTGCCCCCACTGCGAGCGAATCGGTCCACCAGCTCCTTTCCCCATCTAACAGGAATAAGTAGGTGGGAAATTATTGTCCACCCACAAAAAGGACTAGACATTGTGTTCCTGGATCTCACAACTCATCATAAAGAGGTGGTTATAGTTCTCATCAAGAACCGTGGGTAGGGGACTGTGCGTCCGGCAGCATCTAAGGCTTTTTGGTGAGAGCGTGCCCCAGGGTGCTCAGAGGTTCTTTTGGGGTGCTGTGGCTTCAGAATATGAACGCCCTCCCATCTCCCCCCCCCCTTCGCCGGCGATCTTCCAGTTACATAAGTGGAGTGGGACATAGTATGCAACGGGTTCTGACGCCTTGGAGTGCTCAGGATCACCAGTACCAGATGGGGCAGGTTCATTGCATTGCTGTGACTCCTGTCGATTGTCTCTGAAAGTTTATTCTCTTTTTAATTTGGTTATGACTGAATCACCTAAACTGAAACTCGGGTGACTTTGATGTGGCAGTGGCAACATTTTCTGTGGTTTTGTACTGAAGACTTAAGGTCGTTGTGAAGAGCCTAAAAAGAGTGCTGTCACAGGGCAGACCCTTTATGGCATTGCTAAATATGGACCCCTGGGGGAAAGACTTGCTGGGAATATCTCTATAGCGGTTGCTTCTTTTGTGAATGTGTTCGCATATGGGTTGGTCACAGCAGAAATGGGCTCCACCACAAAATTGATATTCCTGACTCATGGTCAGGCAGATGTGTGCTTCTGGTTGTTTTTCCAGGAACACGAATGGGCTCTGCCAAGCCATCCGCAGGTTGTCTCCAGTGTTGAGTATCACTACCCCAAACTGTGAGATGACAGGATCAAATTCAGAGGGCGGTTGGTGATCATGGAACCAAACCTACTGTTGTATGATGTTAAGTGGCTTAGATGTTGTATGACTCTCAAAAGTTTTAGGTGTTTTGTTTTACTATAAAAATGAAGCATTTTTCTAGCCTGCATAGTAAAATTGTACTAATAGGCAATTATTACTCTAGGGGAGAATTTTGGGGTTTTGTGGCTGGAATTTTCATCTCAATCTCAGCAATTTCGGTTAATAACAAGATTAAGCTGACCTTTTGGGTCTTTTGAAATATGCTAGTCCCTATAAAAAGACAGTGTCTGGATTTTTTGGTTCTTTTGGGAATTTCCACCAGAGATTTAGGGAAATAGGCTTATATGTGGGCTATTCAGGGTTTCTACTGTAAATCCCAGTCAGAAAGCCTAGAAAACACTTGCTTTTATTTTCTTACCTGGATATGTCAACCTTAAAAAGCACAATCTAGTAGAAGTTCAGTTGATTATAATAAGTTGCTTTAGATCACCCATTCGTGGTATGTCAGCTAGGCAGCTGATTACTGGGGTGCATTCACTTCCACACAGACACACAATCCTCACTTGACAGTGACTCTGAGATTAGTAAACCTGAGTCTAGAACATGACAACTTAAAGTCTCTGATTTGTTTTCATAGTTGGCAATGTGTTTGCCTCCTCAGGTACCCCTCCAATTACCTGTTTGTTATAAACCTCTAGCCCTTTGAACAGTGCAGGCAGCTTCCAGAATTTAGTTTCTCTGTAAAGTGCCTGGTGGCATCTAAAGTCAGCCTATCTTACAGCTTGAAAAAGCCATGTACAACTTTCTTGCTAGTACTGGCCTATCACACCTTCTGTTTCTTCTTATTAAAATTTTGCCTTGAATGCTTTAAACCTAGAGTATCCGGTCTTACAAGAAAACATCATGCAGTCAGCTCTTTTTTGCTGTTTGAATCCTGAGGTAGGTGTAGGGCATGACACACAAAACAGTGTGTTTGGAGGGTTATGGTATAGTTTTGCATTCTGTGTTTATATGTTTGTAATCTCCAGCCAGAGGTTTTCCCTGCCTACCCTACCTCTGTGAGACCTAATCTAGACAGGTTGGGAGGCAAACTGTGAAGTTTGAAAGAAAAACGGACTGAATGAGTCCAATACACCCTTGCCCGCACTGAATACACCTTTCTCCACATGGAGATGGGACAAGAGTATCTTTAACCTAGAATAAAGAACAGCAGAGGTAAATTTGTTAGATTCTTGCTGGAGCCAGATTTCCTCCTCTCATGTACCTGCCAGGCCTATTTGCAAGATAATTGATATATTCTAGAACCCATAATCTTTTATAAAGGTGACTATCAGTGGAAATGTTTTAATTGACTAAGAACAGTTTGTCACCAGGCTTCCTGAGTTATCTCTGGGGAGGAAAGAATCATAGAAAATGTTTGATATTTGTAGTAACCAGTGTTTTAAGTACAGGATGGTGAAGTGCAGTCCTTGATTGGTGAGGTCCAGAGAGTGTGGCGGGACAGCTGCTTGTTTTCCCTGCCTTCTGTTGTGGTGACATTTGTGCAGAGCAGTCTCATGTGGCTGGCAGACACAGTCTTTTTTTTGTTGGATAGAGAGCATTATTACCACTCCAGCGGGACAACTTTGTCTGCATTTCTTCCATATGAGTCTTTTTTAGTCACATTGCTGTTGTCTTATCAAACTGCTGTGCCTTTATATCATTTTGGATAGGACCAGTGTAAATGGGTGCCTCCTCCTTAGATGTGCTCTTCTGCTTTCCCTGGTTCTCTTTTGCCTTTCTTTTCCCAGGAACCTTTTCCTTTTGAAAGCTTGATTTGCACGTCATTGCTTAAATACTTGGTTCCACCACTTTGATGGTAGGTATATATTGTGTGGGGTAACTGAGTGGGAGCAGGAATTTGGGGGCAGGCAGTCTTACCCACTCCCATATCAAGTGGAGGAGGGTGGTATGCCCATTCCTTTAGAGAATAAAGCCTTGGCCTGTTTAACTTATTTAAGGCACACTCTGTTAGGTCTGCTGGTGTGTGGTGTGCTCACCACAGTGCATAGTTACTGCAGATGTCTGGACTCTACTGGTCCTGAAACTGACAGGACCAAGCCTGGGTGTACTTGTCTTCACTGCCAAAGAACTGGGGGTGGGGGGAGAGAGAGAAAGAGAAAGAGAGAGTGTGAGTGACTCTGTGTGTGTGTGTGTGTGTGTGTGTGTGTGCGCGTGTGCGTGTGCGTGCGTGCATGCGCGCGCACACACACACTTGCTTTATTAGCTTTTCACCTAAATGGACTCATTTTCTGGCTTTTTAATTAAAGATCTCAAACTTTCAAAGCTGGAAGGAACCTTTGTCCAGCTCCCTCAGTTTACAAGTAAAACAACTTGTGGTCTAGAGAAGTTGTGACTTTTCCAGGGCCTCCTAACCAGGATACTGGTTTGATTTTTATTATACAGATAACTGAGAAATTTTGTTAACTTCTGGGATTTCAAAACATTCTAAGACTTGACTTTTTGTTTAAAGGAATTTTGTGAATTATGAAACTTTGTTGTACCTCAAAAGATAATTTTAGGTACCAGTCAAGTAGTTATTAACCAGCCAACCAGCCCAGCCATAAGACTTGGTTGGTGTTGCCCTTCTCTGGATTCAATTGCATGAGTGATTGTGCAAGTGGTTTCTAAATTGTATATGCTTACCTTTTGTTTTTAGTCTAAAGATAAAAGTGCTACTTTTGGGCCAGCAGGGTATCAGAGGTTAGCCTATATGGGGCAGTTTAGGTTTTAATAAGGAGATGATGATTGTCCTAAATAACTAAAAGTCCTTATTGAACAAGTGTTCAAAAGCAGAAGAGAAACTATCAAACTACTAACTCAGTTTGTTGGACATCAGAGATTTACTGATCTGAGAGGCTTAAAAGTGATTGCTCTGAAATAGACTTGCATATTTTAGATGATGACTTTGGATCTCCTGGGGTGCTTGGTTTCCCTTGGTACTTTTTTCCTCTCAGGGTTAAAGCCCCTTCATATGATGATACAGCAGCTCTTTGTAACTTAAGCTGCTTGGAAAAAAAGGGAAAACTTTGCTTCTGGATTTTGGGTGTTCTTTTTGGGATGATATTTTGGTGTTGCATGTTCTCTTGAACACATATTCTTTACCCCAAGTATTTCTGTGTAATGTGGTAGAAGAAATACTTGCCAGAAATCACCTCTCCTGATGTTTTTTAGTGTAAAAGTGTCCCCCAAGGTTTACAAGATCTGCAATATTGTTGATTCTAACAAGCATGAATCTTTCCTTCATTTTAGCACTGTGCATTATGTGCCAGTAATTTGCAGTTTATCCTTTGTTTCTAGTTAGGTGAGCCGGGAAATTTAGTACTTTGTCTATGTGTTTATCTTCAGAATGTCCCAAATAGCCCTGGGAAAAACGTCATGCAGCTCAATGGGGGCTTTCAACTTACGATTTTCTTTGTTTTAGGCTCCATAAAAATACAGACTCACCAGTTCCTGCTTTGATGTGACATGTGACTCCCCAGAATACACCTTGCTTCTGTAGACCAGCTCCAACAGGATTCCATGGTAGCTGGGATGTTAGGGCTCAGGTAAGTAACCTTCCTTTTTTTTTTTTTAGTATATGTCCTGGTTTGGCCATCTGTTTTTAAAAAAAAAAAAAAGGAAAAAAAGATATACAACTCTTGGATAGTATAAAAGTACCCCAAAGATTAAAGACATAACTGTGCCAAACTGTGCCATATAATAAAAAAAAGTCACTTCCCTGAGCCCTGAAAGGTCAGTTTGGGTAGAGTTACTTGGTAACTACAGCGTGATCTGGGGGCGGGAGTCAGATTAGAGCCGGAACTGGTGATCTGCAACTTCAGTTCACCTTGAAGCAGGTCATCTGAGCTGAGAGCACTTGTCCTGAGCTCTTCACCTGTGCTGCTGCTGTTGCCTAGCGGTCTTCAGCATGCTTCTCTGTTTGCTTTGGTTTTGGGTAAATGTCTTACTGGTCAATGTTAGTGAGCTGTGGTAATGCATTTTCAGACATGGGAACTGGTGTATGGTTCCATAGAAGGACGCCCTCCTAAAAGCTGTCACAGAACAGCAGAGCCCATGGCTAGTAGCATGTGCTTCCTGCACTTTTCCCTTGGAAACTAAGGAGAACACCCAGACACACATCTGGCTCTTGGGACTCTAGAGTAGGATGAGTGCTTTTTGAAAGGCTGGGACCAAGACACATGTTTTATCAGCTGTACTTTGGACTACTTTGGTACCATTGTGTGGATTGTAGTTTTGTAGAAATGAGTTGTTCCTTAATTTCTCAACTATTGGACTCAACATCTCAAGCTTTTTCTTTTTTGATCAGTGGTCACTCCACATTTGATATTTTGACACCTGGATTTCAAAAATTCTATGTGGTAAAACAGAATGTTTCAATTGAATTTTTCCATTTCTTTGCCTACAAAAAATGAGTTTTCACATATGCTGCATTATGATTCCAGCTGAGACCCCAAGTAGCACTTTGTTGTGTTTCTCTAGTGATTTCTGACATGTTGGTATAAAAGCTGTTGTAGATATCCATTACAAATAGGTATACATATGAGGGGTTTGGGTGGTGGAGAACAGTGGGTATGGAAGGAAGTAAAGAGCATCATTCTGCCTCCAAGTCCCAAATTTGGTTCCACTCCTGATCTGTAATTCAAATTGTCATTCCCCTTTACTGCTGCAGGGTGTGTTTTGGACCTGGCTGACAGGACTTTCTTTGTAATCCACATATTTATGCTGGTGGGAGTTGTATGGCTAGTACTTTGTGCATTGTCTAATAAATTGTGTGGACTAAATGTAAATATGGGCAGTGAATGGGCTTCTTCTGGTAGATGTTAGGCCTGGGGTGTGGTTTGTTTTTAACAGTCTTTTTCTCTGGTTTAAGAATGGATTTATAAAAGGCAGTGGTGACATATAAGTTTCTCCTAAGAAATGTAGAAAGGAAGAGATTTTTTAAAAAATATCTCTGATTCATTATGAATGAGAAAGACACGGCCATTTGAACTCAAAGGATAGAACTTGTCCTTGTTAGAAAAAAAGTTTGTATCTTATTATTTTCCTTTTTAAAGAAAGTATAAACTAATATATGCTTTTATACAAAAAGCAAACCATCTAAAAGTTTATCAAGTTAAAAAAAAAAAGAAGTGCTCTCTTACTCGGCTCGTACTTCCCAGAGTAACCACTGTTAATAGCTTAATGTAGATCCTTCTTAATCTTCTAAGATTATACAAGTATGCATTTTTTGTATTTTTAGCAAATGGGATGGTATTATTACATACCTCACCTTATATATTTATCTCTGCCTCATTTCTTTTAAATATCAGTGTATTCTGGTGCCACCTTACAGTCATCCATTTCATTGTCCCTCTATTAGTTTTCCTAGCAGTTTGCTATTAAAAAATACTGTGAGATTGAACTTCCTCTTAAGTCACTCATTTTGAATAATGACTGCTAAGACTTGGAGTTGCTGGTGGGTACTGCCACATCACCTTCCCAATTGGCTATCTCAGCTCCCAAGGCAGTCTGAGAAAGTGCTATTTAAAAAATATTCTCCCAGAATTGGCTATCTATCTTTTAAATTAGTGCTCCTTGGATTATTACTGAGGCTGAACCTCAGTAATCATTGGCCATTCGTATCTGGTCTTTGTGAATTGCTTGTTCATATTCTGTTTTCATTATTCTATCAGGATATTTCTTTTTAAATTGATATGTAAGGATTTTTTATAGTCACTCTTAGGGTATTAATGATGTTAACTGTCAGCATGCAGATATTTTTCCTACTTTATCATGTGTCTTGATTCTGCTTTTCTTTCTGATGTACAAAATTTCTGTTTGATTTTTTTTTTTCTCTTATGCTCAGAAGTTCCTTTCCTACCCTAAGAACAGGTCAATATTAACTTGTATTTTCTTTCTTCCTAAAAAAAAAAAAAGAAGAAGAAGAAGAAAAGAAAAGAAATAATGTTGTGCTGGGCGCAGTTCTGTCTATGATCCCAGTGGCTCAGGAGGCTGAAGCAGGAGGGTTGCAAGTTCAAAGCCAGCCTCAACAATTTAGCAAGGGCTTAAGCAATTTAGTGAGACTCTATCTCAAAATAAAAGGGCTGGGGATGTGACTCAGTAGGTAAGCCCCTCTACATTCAATCCCTGGTGCCAAAATGGTGATGATGATGATGATGATGATGATGATGATGATGGTGTAGTAGTACTGTATTCACACATACATATTTAATACATACAAAAGAATCATATAGGTAAATTGTGCTGTGTTTGTCCCATTTTTAAAAAATACATTTTTGTATTTAACTTTGGAATGAGATGTTGTCTAGAGCCTATTTAACCAGTTTTGTCTTAACCATTGGGTGTAACAGTCATTCACTCTTCACTTTTTTTTAATCTTATTTTTTTGATGGGGTTCTTTTTTTTTT